TTGGTCCGACAAGTTCCCGGAGAGCAAAGGTTGTAACGGAGCTGCGTCGGCGGCGGTGTGCGGGGCGGCGGTGGAGGATGTGCTGTTCTGGGGGAGGGAGATTGGAGTGAATGACAAGGGAGGAGAATGTGGGAACACTCCTATTTTTACTTTTAATTTTTCTAAAATTGCCATGTCATTAAATTAATAGTTTAGTTAGCAATTTTGTTTGCCACATTATAAAAAAACTGACGAAGTTAAGAGTTTGATAGAGACTAACGGCAGGTAACTAACGGTGAAACGATTTGTAAAGTTATTGGCGAACATGAAAGAAAGTAATTTGGGTGGCAAACGTGAAAGATTTATATAATTTGAGTGACCAAATGTGTAATTTAGCCAAATTTAAGATTTAAGACATACGTGTATGGACTTTTAATTGTGAGGCCCAAAATTTTGGAGACCTTATGCTGTGGGTCTGACCAGCACAAGGCCTGGGGTGGGCCTATTTGGGGCCAGTTATCACACAAATACCACATAATATAAAACTTGTTATTTGATATGTGATATTTGGTCTCAAACCTGTTATTTGGCAAATACCTGCCCCTCCCAACTATTTGGCAAATAACACTTTTTGTGTTATTTGGTCTCAAACCTTTTATTTTGCAAAACACCACATCCAAATAACGCATCCCATTTTTTGTCAGCCGAACATGTTATTTGGGGTCAAATAACACATTTTGGATTATTTGACCCCCAGATACTCAATCCAAACGACTCCTAAGTCTTTTTTCCGCGTTTTGGGAGGTATTAAACTAATTAATTTTTTTACGTTGAATCAGTTGCTTTTATTCCGATAAGAAACCGATACAACGAGTCGAGACTACAATCTCGAGTAGTACATACTAGTCCCCACTTCTATCTGAGAATATGTATACTATAAGAGCAAACAAACAAAAAGATGTCTATAAGTATCCCAACCCAGACAATGCATCCCGAACCCCTCTGTTACCACATGAAATAAACAGCAAATCCATTTTGATCAACTCTGTAACCTACTCAGGGGTGCGACAGGGTGATCCATGAGTCACACCACACCTTTCCCTCCAAATAAATGTCAGCAGCATACACCAAACAAGAGCATGCCACTCTCCAGCTCTGAGTATTAGCAACTGTGATCATTGAGCTCACCATGGCATCCCAGTCAGTATGCAGTAGAAGATTGCACTTCATTGCAACAGCTAGACGACGCGAAAACAAGCACTGAACAAAGAGACGATCTCTATTCTCTACTGCCAAATCACAGAGTGGGCATGATGCATCCCTGGTTTTACCCCACTTCATCAGTTTGTCCCTTGTAACGATGGCCTTTCCTCATTATAAGCCAGACAATCAAGCTGAATCGAGGATGACAGTTCCTGCCCCAGACAAGCTTGTACCACGAGACTTTAGGAGCCCTATTCCTCAGAGTTTCCCATACCCGACGAACCGAGTAAACATCCATCGCCTTTGAATCCCAAAAAACAGTGTCATTATGCTTTTGCATCCATGGGGAAATCACAGCCCTCAGTTTGAGAAGCTTCCTCCAAGCCCATGAGCTACTATATTGCACTCTCAAAGACCAAAGATCCCGTTGACTACACTTATACTCATTCATCCACGCAACCCATAATGTCCCCGAGTTCATTAAGAATAACTAGAGCATTCTGATGGTGCACGCCTGATTCCAGGCACCATCAGAATTTTTTAGACATGAATTTTCATCCATATTTTAATGATTTAGTTGAAATAAATTTATTCACAAAATAGTTCAATTAAGACACTTCCAAAAGCTTTATGTAGTGTGTTAATTATTATCAAAGGCTTATGTAACACATTTGTTTGATTGATACATAAGTAATAATAATCACTTCCACATTCATAAGTTATACATATTGTATTTTAATAAATATGAATGGTATTATGTAATCTTCCGTAACGTGCGGACAAACAATAAAATCAAGTTATAAATCTCATATTTTATTAAACTGTTAATTAATGTTAACTTTTCTTACATAATCTTTAATTAGCGTAGTAAAATTGATGAGATGTTGAATATAGTAGGTAATAATACTTCTAATTAATAATAGTGAATGAATTAAGTTACGAAAAGGAATACATATTTGACCAAATTGTTATGTTGTAATAAATGACCTTACAAGATACAGACTAACAAGAGATATGACATTCCATTTCATATATGGCTCATCAACAATCTGAGTGACGAAGAGAGGAGGGTGACATTCCGTTTAGTTTGCTGGCAAATTTGGAAGTAGAGGAACGAAGAATGTACGGACAAAATACAATTCTTTGAAGGCACGTTATCCTGTAGAATTTTGAAGCTTGGTTCTACATTTTTCAGCAGGCTCAACAAAATGTGAACAAATATTTCGAACCTTCTGAGAGACAAAGAAAAGAACGGAGGTGGAACTAGCATGGAATCCCCCTCCTGAGGGATGTGTATAGATATAATCTGATAGATCTATCCTCTCGCCTGCGTGAGAAGCTGTTGCTGGTAGGGATGGCAGTTCAACCCGGACCCGCGGGTACCCGACCCGACCCAACCCGGTCAAACCGGATAAAATCCGTGTTGACCGGGTTCGGGCCGGGTTCGGGTTTAAACCCGGTGGCTGGTTGGGCGGGTTCGGGTTTGGGGGAACCCGACCCGTGGATACCCGGCCATACATCCCTAACCCTAAATTACCCAGACCCCAAACGACAATTCCCAATCCCAGAAGGCCAGAACCAATTTCCACTTCGCCCTTCCCATTTCCCATCGCGGCATCGCCGCCAATCTCTTCCCGAGTCCCGACCCATCTTCCTCGCCGGCCTCTGCAACCCATCTTCTTCTCCGCGAGGACCGCGACCGCGACCCAGGCATCCGGGACCCATCTTCCTCTTCTCCACCTGCCGTCCCGACTGGCGACGGCCGCCCCGCCACCACCAAACTCCTCTGCCCCGCCAGGCCGCCACCCTCTCCAGCTCTCCCTGCTCCTCAGCAAGGCCTTCACGGCGTTGCTCACTCTCAACCTCCCCGACCAGGCGACCGACCACCTCTCCGCCGTCTCTCTCCGCTCAGTCGACTCCGCCGCCGGACACGCCACCGCCCACTTGGTCCAGAATCGCCCTCCCGAGTCCCGGCCCCTCTCTCCAGCACAGCCGCTCGTTGCTTGGTCTTGGGAAAGCTCTCCTCCAAGCCAAATTCCAAACACTCAAAGTACACCCTAAATCCCTAAGTAGTTTCTGCGCTAAGTTGTATGTTAATTAATTAATCTGGATTCAAGTACACCTAAGTAGTTGATGTGCAAGTGTGAAAGTTAATTAATCATTGTAGCATTACTTTGAAGTATACTGATTATGTTTGTGATCCGCATGTTGGGAGGGCAGAGGGTATACTGATTATGTTTGTGAAGTATACTGATTATGTTTGGTGGAGTATACTGATTATGTTTGTGATCCGCATGAGTACCCTCTCTCTGTGAAGTATATTGATTATGTTTGTGATCCGCATGATTTGTAGCATTACTTTGGTAGATGTTAAGTGGACGAGAGATAGATATATTGTTAGAGAGCTATTAGGTAAGAGATTTAGTATTTTGGATGTGTTGCAGATTTTTTTCTATGATGTTGGGAAGTTGAAACTGTCACTCAATTCACTATGATTTTGCTTTGTGTAGGTGCTTGATATGGCTTCAAATGCCTCTGAAGCCGGAACTCCAATTGTTAGTGGAGGTGATGAGACTATTGGTACTTCTTCTACACCTACTGCGGGATCTCAGTCCCAACTTCCTAATCCCACTAGTGAGAGTGGTAATGGTGCTGCTGCAGCTATCTGTTAATGATGATCTAGATCCAGATTGTGCTTCATGTGTTACCGGTATATTTTATATTATAACTATCTTCTTTAAAATCCATATTTCTTATGTTTGTGGAGACATTTCTAATTTTGGCTTACCTAATTTTGTAGAATGAAGTCGATGTTATGGAGCTGAGAGTCAAGCTAAGATGACAATGTTCAAGTTCTCAAGGAGGAGGAAACTTTGATTAATCGTGTTGTGTATGGATAATTTGTGACTTTGAATTTTCTAGATTGGAGTTGAACAATTTGTATGGATAGGGTGTGATTTGCTTGAATTTTCTAGAACGATGTTTTATGTGTGGATAATTGTATGGTGAGATTTATGCTTGATTTTTTATTTTGATAGTTTCTTGTTAATTATTATTTATAAATATTTTACCAAAAAAACCCACGGTACCCATCAACCCGCGGATACCCAGCGGGTTGGGTTGGGTTTGAGTTTTTCAAACCCAGCGGGTTTTACCCCGGGTTTTTTTGACGGACAAACCCATGGGTTTGGGTTCGGGTTTGGCAAAACCCGCCCCAACCCGACCCATTGCCATCTCTAGTTGCTGGAGGCCTGATCAGAGACAATCTAGTGAGGTGTATTTCAGAATTCGTTTGTAATCTTTGGGATGGTTCGCTTACCACTGTTGAATTGAAAGGAGCGATTGAAGGGTTGAATCTAGCTTGGGAAAGGCGTTATAGAAACGTCCAGCTCAAGATTGACTCAACCAAAGTTGTCTGTCTTCATGAAAATTTGTAGGGATGACAAGCATAGATATGGCCTACTTGCACAACAAGTTAGACACATTTTGGAAAGAAATTGGAGAGTGCACATTTCTCATGTGCATAATTTTGTGACTGATTACCTAACTAGTAAGGGGTCATAGTGTGAATTTTGGCACACATCTCTTTTATGTGACAGATTCGAGTCTTACAAAATTGATTCTTTATGATATGATGGATAATAGTCCAAACACAATTGTTAAGTAATGAAACTTAAGACGTGGTAGCTTGTTTTATCTGACCAAGCTGTAAAATAAAATAAAATCCTCAAAGTAAATAATCGAGTCGACGGAGGCTCAAATCCCAGCTGAGTGTTGTGAATCCACTTCCCGATTTTATTGTCTTTGCTTTTTGGGCCCTCAGGACTCAGGTCAGACTCAGTCCCTCTTCTCTATTCGAAGCCCTCCCCACTGCCCCGCTCCCACAGCCGCCGCCAACTCCTCCATCTCTTCCACTCTGCCACTCACCGGACGAAGGTTGGATTCGGATTTCTGACTTATCAATTGTGAATGCGACCGTTCGCTAATTTTTATTTTTGATACAGAAAGATAAGACAGAAGATCACCCGCCCAACTTCCTTTCGCGGAGAACAAGCTTCTCATCTGCCGGAAAACCTAAAAGTAAAATCTTTCCGCTACTTGAGTGAGACGTTGCAATTGTTGCCCGGGAGCTTGGTTTCCCTCCGGTGAACTGCTGCTTCCTTTTCTCTCTTCAGGTATTATCTCTATCTCAGTACAAAATTTGCTACCCTTGTGATATTGTCAGCTGTTTTCTTTCGGCCGATTGAGGGAGAAAAAAGCATTCTACTATTGTTGTATTAATCAATCATTTGACCTCTTCTTTTCGCTACCTGATCGAACTCGCTCATTCAACTTAATCATTCGATCCTTGAGGCGTTTTTAGCAGATGATGCATAGTTGGTGTTGCGCACACCATCTGTTCGATGAATTGTTCTGTTTCTTCTGTTTGTTTTTCTTTCTTTTTACCTGATTGTGCTGGTCGCTTTGATTCTGGTGACAGCAATGGAGGCCAAATTCTTTCGCTTTCTGAAGATTGTCGGCGTGGGTTACAAAGCAAGAGCTGAATCGGAAGGGCGGCTGTTGTTTCTCAAGTTGGGTTACAGCCATGAAGTGGAGCTCACTGTGCCCCCGGCTGTTCGTGTTTTCTGCTTCAAGAACAATGTGGTCTGCTGCACTGGGATCGACAAGCAGAGGGTGCACCAATTTGCTGCAGCGGTGCGTAGCTGCAAACCTCCAGAAGTTTACAAAGGGAAAGGCATCATGTACACTGATGAAGTGATCAAGAAGAAGCAGGGCAAGAAATCCAAATAAATGAGGGCAGAGATGCAGTAGAGGAGATTCGCGGCACTAGTAAGTGTTGGTCATTCACTTAACTTTTCTTCAGCAGCAGCTCAACTCTCAATTGAGTTTGGTTTGATTTCTTAGTTGAAACTTTCAACTGTCGAAGGGGCATTTTGAACTAGCTTTTAAGGGAACGGAATAGCTGAATCAACTTTTCTGCACATGTTTGCTTGGTCCATTTTGCTGCTTATGAAGTCAATAATCTCATTAGATGGCTCAAAACAACAAAATATTACAGCATGAAACGTTGCTAAAGACTCATTTGCTTAAAGATTCACCCCACCCTCACAAATATATATTTGGGAAGCCGAGAAAGGGCCTGTGGTATGAGTTCATCCAGAGCGTATGTTCTTGAGGCTATATATCTGCACTGGCGAGGCTAGTCTCTAGATCACCTGTACATGTGCTGCAGCCAACGATCATCCTACGCCTGGTTCCTCAATGTTCGGTAGTACCTGCAGAAATATGATACAGAACCGTGTGATGAGATTAGAATGATGTAAATGCAACAGTATAGGTTCAGGAAGGCGAAGCAAGTAAATCCCAGTAAAGGAACAGACAGAACTAAACACAACGAATCAGTCCCCTACTCATGTTCAAGTAATGCTAAGAATACCATGATTTTGCACAACTCCCTCGGTGAAAATTAGGCACCATACTGGTTGGCCGTCGGGTCCATCATCCACCACACTAAGAAGCCGACTATACCGGTATATCGACTGGAGCTACTGTGAAACCTTGAAGTGGCACACTATGAGCAGCACTATTATCCGTGCAAATGAAGTGAGAGTATGGTGGTGTGCAGAGAGTAGCAAATGGCCGAGTCCCAGCAAGATTGTGTGGCATGAACACGAGTAGTACAAATGCCTGGCATGGAGCGCCCAATGCAAATGCCAAAAACAGTACCATGGCATGACGAATCATGAAGTTCCTCCAATCGATGTTCAAGGAGTGCCACCAACATCAATATGAAAGGTGAGGAACAAGAAAGGCCCCGGAGAATGCAGGTCAAGTTTCACAAAATTACAGTTTCATTAACCAGAGATAATGAAAGAATTAACAATAACTTCACCTGAAGAATGACTGTTAGTATAGAACAGTAAATGATCAATAATCAAACTCAAGTCATCGATTCAATAGGGTCTAAGCTGATCATCCATCCATTTGGCTGATTGCAATGCAATTGCAAGTTCAAGCTGAAAACTAGGTTTACCCAGTTCGATTTGATTAATCAAAATAAAAAGGAATTACTTCTGTTTACCGCTTTCACTTCAAGAACTCAATACATATACATCCATTGATGATGTTTAAGCTGCAATTAGAAAATTGGAGGGAGAAAAGAGCTTCAAAATACAGTTTATCTCTACATTTGGAAGATCTTGTTACACTATCACTACCGGACAAAAAATGCCTCCCGCTTAAGTTTTGCTTTGATAGTGAATTCGGGACAACAGAAGCCAGAGATGTTTTTGCAATTTTCACGATTCAACTCATCACATCAAGTGAGCTTTGGAACTTTGACAAGGTGTACGCTTTTCACAAACCCTTTCCCGGCTTCACCAACTCCCTTCAATATACTAACAGGATCTTTTTCTTCATCCTCTTGTTCATCGCGCTGCCGTTTCTGGTACAGCCAACAACAAAAACAAATTCACAACTTTGAACGGCCAAAAGACAGAAACGACTAGCTTATTGCTAAATATGAACAGCTTAACCTTGGAACCAGATCTGTCCCATGTCAGTCCAATCGCATCGCCCCCTAGAGCATCATACCACAGCTTCACTGTGCTGAACTCCCTCTGAAGGTGTCGGAAGAAAGAGAAAACAGTAAGCACACAAGAGCACGGTGGAAGGTTAAAGCTTAACTTGTGATTAGATGGATCACAAGAGATACTCGCCTTTAAATCAGTAACATAGAGTCTTAGTGGATCAAAGTCGACCATTAGCTTGTCTTTCAACTTTTGCAAGTTCCTCCCCCTCAAATCTTCAGATGAAAAGAATGGGCTAAACGATTTACTAGCATTCCCACGAGCAACAACCCTCCCTGTCCCAGACATTTGTTGGCTTCAGAACACAAGAGAGTCGAATATTTTGTTGTTCAAGTAATATCAGGCTGTACACTATAATACCTTGGTTCACTAGCGATGGGAAGAGAAGGTGACGAGGGAAAGGCAACTTATCACCATGGAGGAGGACTACTGCATCATAGTTGTTGAACGGGGTTCGAAGAAGGCACTGCAGAGAGAAAAATTCGCTCCGATTACTTGACAGAAATCAAGGTACAAACACAGGCAATTCAAACGTTCTAAAAAAGATTGGTTATAAACCAAGACACGCTTACCTCCCATCTAAGGGAATCAGATTCATCTTGGCATATGAGTTTAGTCAGCAGGTTCGCACTGCTACGAGCATAAGCTATCAGTCTCTTGAGCTCCTTTTAAGAAAAAAAGCAAGAATCTGAGTGCACCACGGTGAAGAATTTGAGCATCAACTATCAAATTTGATGAAATAAACTAACCATTGAATTTGGAGAGGAAGAAGTCCAAGCTTCGGATGCTTTATCATATGACGTTGCCAAGAACATTGCTGGGCTTATATTTTGCATGTTTCCTGCATAGCCTTTTCTACTCAACCTAAAGTTGTCCTGAACAAATAGAGCATGCCTCTGATTTAGAAAAACGATAATAAGCCATAGACACAAACCAAGAGAACTACCAGCCGTAACTCAAATCAACAGCTTACTTCAATCTCTTTCTTATCACTCGGGCTCAAGTCATCTTTCATATCAATAACCATTGGAGAGAAGGCCCAGTCATAGTCTGCTAGTAATCGCAAGAACCTGTTGAAGAATGATTGCCAGACATTCATTTGCATTCAACAATTGTACATACAAAGGAAGCCATGACAGAACTCATGCAACTTAACATAGCTACTAACTCGGAGTATAATCATGAGAGCGTAAGGACGCAAGAATCAGAAATGCAGTTGACATTCAGAGGTATTCTCGTCACAATTAGCCAACTGATGAAAAATAGTAATAACAGTGTTGGGTCTAAGATACAAGCTCTTTCTGTTGAATAATGGTCTTACTTACAGATCAAACTGGAAAGAGAGATTTTACCTTAAGAACCCAGTAATACGGGAACAAGGTGTTTTAAAGGGTAAAGACTTCACAAAGAGATATGCCACCAACAATTCAACTGTCTCGTCTGCCAAGCTAGCTGAAAATAGATGCGAAGCAACCCACCTTTTCGCAAGCCTTCAAGGATCAAGTGGGAAAAGTAACATATCACCATAATTTGTACAAGTATTTTGATAAAGGATCAACCTGATACTGACTGGGGACTGAGGTTACCTAACAACTGGCCCATAAGCTGGATAAGGCTTCAATAGGCCCTTAATCATACTAGCATGCTGACTTTCGAAAAAAAGGCTCTTGTCAGCACCAAATACCCGCTTCGCTCGTTGATTTGCAACTACACAACACAATTAATGTTCAGAGGCAAGAACCGGAAGAATCTACGCAACAAATACCGGAAGAAGGTCATACTTCCACTGTTAACCAATGCAAGGGCTCTCTCGTGTAAGATTTTCAGGCGAAATGCATATCCTGAAAGAAGAACAACGACCTCATCTTCGGTAGCATCACATCTCATCCCCCAGTTACTTTGCAAACTGCCATCACAGACGGCAATGGGGTTATCTTATCACATCTCATCCCCCAATATCACAATAATGCGCATAAACCTAGAAAGCTCACCTCTCCCCAATTTTAAGAAGGAAGGCAGATTTGGTTTTTTGAATTGCCACATCATCCTTTGGCCAATTTCCAGAACCTTCCAACTGAAAGAGATAAACTAAGGACTTAGGGGTTGCTTGGTTGAGCGATATTATTTGCAATAGCATGCAATTAAACGACATCACAGTTCTTGGTGGCATCTTTTATGCATTTTAAGTAAAATTTTAATAGCATGGTGAATGTAAACTGACCAAAATGATGCGATCTCAATTACAAGGGACATAAAGTATTTGAGAAAGTGCTCTGTAGGTACCACAAGTGTTTTTTTATACTATTTAAGGACAACCTTGTTACAAATACAAATAAACATACTAAATAGATTGCATGCTTGTTTAAAACAAGAAACAAATTACCTGAATCATAACTTCTAGTGGCTGAATGCACGATGAAGTAAGCTTACTTAATTTTCCACCGCTGCCTTTTTCATTAGCCAATGGATGTGGCTCAGGAGGAAAGACAGAAGTTGATCTCAAAGCTGTAAAGTTGCACACGGTAATTTGTTAGCTGCAGCAAGAGGACCAAAGAGGGTAGTCGAGTGAAAGAAACACAGAAATCTACGAAAAGCAACCAATGAAATTCAGTCACATTTCACAGAAGTTGCAACCTGATTTGCAACTGTGCCCAGGGCATACCAAGAAAGGGGGAATAAGACCAAGAAATCAATTAGCATCCGATAGGACTACTAATCTCATCTAACCACCTGACAATTCAGACAGTACCTGGGTCTAAAGGTTGTACGTGAGATATCTTCAACGGAACATCTTCAATAGAGCGCAGGCGCCTTTCTAGAACCTCAAATGTCCCAAGCAAATTTGGAAAGAATGATACTGGATCTGAGATGACTCGAAATTCGTAAGAGACAGAAAAATGGAAATTGACATGAAAAGTAGTTGATACTAGTTATAATACCTGTGCCACCATGAAGCAAAGAGAAATCAAGCTGATCCACAATTTGAGTAATATTTGTTTCTGATAGAGAAAGATGTCTAACTAGCACATGTTCAACTATTCTTTTCAGAATGAGATGCTTTGTCCAATCCTTTGTTTCCCAGACTGTATAGACGACAAAAGTTATTCACCAAGTTAACTGCAATATGCATCTCATGGCACCTCAAGTCCTCAACAAATCAGACCCTCACCTGTACTTTCAGCAATTCGGCCATCTTGGAACCTCCGAAGCTCTGCCTTTTCACCCCAAAACTTACGGAATTTAAGAACCTAGTCAAGAGGAACAGACAGAAGCAATTAGCATGAATTTGGGGGCAATAACATTGAGACTGACAAACACATAAATTCAATACCGCATCTCTGTCTTCAGCGTCGGGGCCAATATCAACTACTCTGAAAGCTTTCTCCGGAGTGCTCATAGAAATTCCTACAATCAATGGTTCTCTGTCGAGAGTGGAAAAACCCTGCAATAAGATAATATTAGAACCAGCTCTGGTGGAAGTTATACGCATAGAGTTAGAAGTTACCTTTTCCAAACTGCATCCTGAAGAACTGTTTCTCCAAATTACACGAACAGACTTTGTCCTATCTCCCAAACCTTGACTCAGAAGATCATGCACCTGTTTCTCGTACAATCTCCAACATTCATCATCCAAACAAAATCCAGATGAAAAGACCTCCTTGCTTCCCTTTAAGTTCAACCTGAAACAAGACAGGAGTCAAGTATGCACAATAATGGTACCAAAGCAGTCGATGAGTTAATAAGAAGATCATTGAAAGAACAAAACCTATGTTTAGCTTTGAAAACATTGTTATGCTGAATTTATGCATTTCATCCACCTTCCAGTGTACATAATCCATTTACATAAACTAGGGACACGGTACTTGATTGAGAGCTACAATAATTTCTTTTTTTATAAGCTATATATTCAATCATACCTTATGTGATGATCATATTTAGAAGAAAAGTCAACATTCGTTGTAAAGATATCCTCAAATGCCCCATCTCCAAATTTCCCCAAACATTGAAGAGTAATGACAGCTTCCTCTTGGAGCTGAATATTGCAGAAAAGGATAAAGCAACATAGTATAAGTAACGAAGGAACTACACCAAGTTATTTGGCACAAAACTCTGCTAAATATAAATACACTACCATATAATACCTCAGAGAAAGCACTTTTGCTTATCCGGTAAGTCAAATTGGTAGAACTGTGTGCATCACATAAGAAAACTGGGAATGATTCTATATTTTTCATCCTGTCCTGCAAATAGAAAGTTATGCTATAATGATTGACTCTCAAAGATGGAGCAGATCTAGTAGTATGCAAGGACCAAAAAAATGAAATTACATAACAGCTAGATAAACTCTTTTTTTTTCCTCATAATCACAGCTAGATAAACTCTAGTTCTCACAAAGTAAATGAAATTATATAACTTTGATAAGTGCTCCATCTATAAAGTGCACTCATTGTAATGTGAGTTATGACAGGATAAATAAGACCATTAATCTATTAAACAGCTGCACTACTTTGCTTTTGCTGCAACCCCTATGTCAGTATCGTGTGATCAATTAATAGAATGTTTTCCTCAATTCTAATGATCCGCATTGAAATGGAATATACTGGGAAAGAAAGGACTAAAGTTAAGGATCATACCTCCTTTGTGATCGTAACATTCTTGTGAAAATAGAGCCCGCGGGCCCACAATTTTGAATTGCCTGCGAAAATTGGAATCAGTTATGCATTGCTGAAATTTCTAACTGCAGCTTATCAACATAGACAATATCCTAACATGGTACAAACATACCTATGAAATCCAATGTAACACGAAACATTTGCAATGGCCTCATAGTCTTGTTAATCTTCTCGTGGGTTGCAAGGTACGACAATATAATAGCTAACAGGAACCCATTTAAGCAGTCATGAACGTACACAGAACTTCTCTGTCGAGCCCAGACCTGCACCACCAGATCAATTTTTACCCTCTTACATTCCAACTTATTGATCATACACTTTTCAGGTTACAATTCCATGCTTCCATACCTTCAGCAAAATCAGAGCCTCTCCCAGTTCCTTCCACCCAGCAAAAGTTTTCCGGAGAAATTCATTGTTCTCTTCTAAACTCATGTCCTCCAAGATGCTGGTATTATACCTTGGAGAAGGTAGAGTACTCCCATCTGATTGATCAAAGTAAGAAATGTTTGAGTGAAGGAAACAGGATTACAGGAACCCACATTGCATTCAGTCAAGAAGTACCCCATACCTTGATTCAGAGCCCGAATATTATTCCTCCTCAAGTCCAATCTTGAGACATCAAACAGAGATTTTGCAGTAGGAATCACCCGTACAAAGAACTCTGGAGCTTCTGAGATGTTGTTGGCTATCAGAGGAGAGGCAGTAAAATACAGCACATTTAAGCCGGTGTTAAAAATTGAAATGAGAGTTGACTACAAATCAGTGGCCCAATGGGCCAACTGGGGAAGGGGGGAAACATTGGGAAAAGGCAGGAACTTTAACAAGAGAAGAACCTGGATAGACCAAAAGGACAGGTTTGCGAGCCTCATTCTGGAAGGTGGACCACTCAACCTTTGAAATCGAGGAAGAAGACTTCAAGAACTTCTTGATTACACATAGGTAAAGGAACCGTTTGGCATGATACCTGTGATTTAAATAGTCTTTCTCATTGAAGCACTCCTGCAGAAAGGAAACCAAAAGCATAATTTGAGAAAACAAAAGTAACAGTTAGTCAAATTCTTCCCAAATTTGACAGAACAAAAATATGTTCTGCAATCATACAAACCGACTAGTCACCTTAGGAAGCCGCAAAAGAATATCCACGCCAGTGTCCGGTCTCGCAATGCAGTTTATTGAATAACTGCCGCAAACTTCAATATAACTAGGCCTCTTAAACTTGAATTCGGCCTTGTCAGCACCAATATCTCGAACGAAGCCTCGAGCTTCCTTGGCTGTCACCTGCTCAAAGTAAGACGAGAAAACATGAGCTCCACCACCTAGCTCTAAAAATGAACAAAAATCCCATCTTCAAAGAGAAGTCTAGGAAAATGGTTAACCTCCAAGCCCTCTGGGATTTGGTTGATTGATTCTCTAATGGCTGAAACGGTGTCCTCGACGAGCTTGGTGAAGGAAGAGGACGTCTGAAGATGAACTTCCTTTAGGAGCTCAGAGACCTTCAAGGTCATTGGATCCAGAGCTGTAAGTTCCTCCATCATCGTTGTTTGCTGGAGGAAAGAACTCGACCGCCAACGACGAGAGGGGGATTACTAGGGTTTAACGGAGTGTCAAGTGGCGGGAGATAGGTCAGAACTCAGAAGAGTATAACGAAAAGAATAAGAGTAGAGGATCGATTTTACGGAACTTCTTCGACCTGGGCCCAATCTCGCCCTTCTATTACAGAAAGCTTGACTAGGAAGCCTAAAGGTGTTGGGCTGGACTCAGGTCGGGATTGCATATCGAGCTAACATATCTGAAGCTCAAAATAACCCATTTGGAGAATTCAACCAACTCTCGCCTTTCGTTATAGAGAGCTGGACCTGCAAGTGCAAAACAATTCGGCTGGGGCCTGCAAGTCATGACCCATTTGATAGTGGACGAGCAAAGGTTGATCATTATTTCCTTAGTGACTCGGTGTTCGGCTCATCAAAAAATTTGCTTGAGATTTTGCTCATTTATTAATGAGTCGAAGTTGTCCTAAATTTGGTTCGGCTCACAAGGCTCGTGAGCTAGCTCATATCAGTGGCTTGAACTCAACTCGTAAGCTAGCTCATTTTGAACTATGAGCGGACTCAACATATCGATTAATAACTTATTATTGCATTGTTGATAATTCATATGCGTGTTGGATTGTATATATGGTGATGACTGGTATGCTCCATATATATATATAATGTTCAGGAATTTTAGCAGGTAATCAAATATGTTTCATTTATAGCTTAAAAGAGAGATTGTGTGCCATAGATTGTTTAGATACCAATTACTATTAAATAATATGATATGAACAATTGAAAATTATGAACTAAATGATATGGTACTTTAGCTCGAACGGACTTCGTGAGCAAATTGATGAGTCGAGCTCTAGTAGAGCTCGTGAGCTCATAATTATCCGAGCTCAAGTCAAACACAAGTCAAGTTTTTAGTAAACAAGCCGAAATCGAGGTCAATTTGTTTATTAACAAGCAGAGCCCAAGTTAGGTCTAAACTTGACTCGACTTGAATCATTTGCAACCCTTGATACTAGATAAGGACAACATGTCATAAAGGGATGTAAATAAGTCAAGCCAACCACGATAATGTGGTGCTCAACTTGAGAAAAATTCATTTGATACTCGACTGTTTACTTAATAGCTTGTTTGTTAGCTTGCTCGTTTATGAGCCGAGATTGATCCATGTGCAACTCTCTCATTAGGCTCATAGGTTAGTTCGACTCGTTGTCTCATTGAGTTTGGATCGCGAGCTAGCTCGATTTGCTCACAAGCCAACTCATTAATGGTAACAATACACAGTTGGGAATGTGTGAATAACTTTGAACCTATAAGTCTCAAATGGAGAAACACCACATTGGTGGGAGAAGACTTGCATAAGATCTATAAAGATTGGGTTCTCTCTCTTAAAGGAATGCCATTTGTGGTGACCTAGTTTTGTGTGTGAGGGAGGACCCAATGGACCATCACACACACACGGGCGTCGTTTGTCCAACCGATCGAGCGAGTGGGTGGGTCGTTCAACTTAAGAGTAATAATTTTTGGATAAATTTTGAACTTAATTATTTTGTATCCTTCAAATATACATTGAGAATAATTAATGGAAAAGGAATATTCAAGAGATAATTTGAGTAATCATCTCACCATACGTGTTTTTATTAAGGAGTATTTATCTTCCTGATTAAGCGTGACTTATTCCTCACAAAAGGGGAATATTCTGAGGGTCTCAGCTCCTATAAATAAGTGAACACTTAAACCCTCTAGACACGCCAATACGAGAGAGTTAGAGAGAGAGAGAGAGAGTGAGTGGCTCGCTCCGAATATCACACTTAAATCCCACCTAAGGCCCAAGTATAAACCTTAAATGAGTGCAATATAGTGCAAGTATGTTTAAATATCAACCCGGGCCGGTCCATGTACCCCTACTTCAATTGTTTGAAACATTATCTAGCGGAATGAAGTTTGTAAGAATATTTACAATCTATGATTAAAATTGCAAGGCTTGAAAAGTAAAAGGGTTGAAACTCTTGGTGAGAAGCTTCACTCGGGAGTTGTTTCCCCCTAACTAACTACCATGAACTGTGGGATCGAATGAATTGGTGTGCGACAAGGAGATTGCTAACCGTAGGAGGATCAATAGTGGTTGGAAACCACACTCTCAATCGCTAGGCCAAGGAATGCATTATAGCATGCTTTAGGAAACCATAACGGAAGTCATTCCGGATTCATCTATGGTATGGTATTTTGTGGTAGGACCATGGTTCAACCGTTGTGTACCGGTAAAATACCATTTTTATAATAAAAAAATATTTTTAAATAAAAAACCGTACCGGCAAAATCAGAGTACCGTTTCGGAGTAATACCAGAATAAACCAAAATATACCGGATAACAAACCTAAATACTCCAAATAGGCATAGGTAATTCCACTTTGATAACTTGGCCATATCTAGTTCATCGACATAAAACTCAGGCCCCTTCTCTCTCTTAAAAGTTTCTCCTCTGCCTTCTCTCTAGAAGTTTAAAGGGTTAATACCTTATTTTGGCCTGAACTATCACCATATAATCAACTTTGGCCCGTGGTTTCAGAAATTAACATCCTGGCCTCAACTATGCGGCATATTGACTCAATTGGCCCGACATATAGTTTGACCGTCAATTTGGACGGTCAACTCCGTTGACCGTTAGTCAACATGCCATGTCATTGCCTGGTTAGCCTAAAAATCATTAAAAAAAATTTTAATTCAAATTATTTTCCTAATTTCTATTATTTATCATTTTTCAATTAACCAAAAAATAAAATTCTAAAAATATAAAATATTTTTTTGTGATATTTGAAAATGATAAATCTTATAAATTAACCAAAAATTATCAAATTAAATTTTATAAATTTAAAAATTATTATATAAATTATATTTATGTGGGAAGTTTTAAAAATATAAAATAATTTGATATTTTTTGGTTAATTTATAAAATTTATCATTTTTCAAATTATCCAAAAAATAAAAAATCAGATTTATTTATGTTTTTTATAATTTATTTTTGGTTAATTTGATAATAAATAAGAAAAATAATTTGAAATTTGCATTTTTTAAATGATTTTTAGGCTGACTAGGCAATGACATGGCGTGTTGACTAACGGTCAAACTATGTGTCGGGCCAATTGAGTCTATATGCTGCATAGTTGAGGCCAGGATGTTAATTTCTGAAACCACGGCGCAAAGTTGATTATATGATCATAGTTCGGGCCAAAATAAGGTATTAACCCAAGTTTAAATTTCCAGGCAGCCATGGGGCTGCCGCCGACACTCCTCCGGCGACCGGCGGTGGCCCTCTGCCCCTCTGATTTCCCTACTCTTTTCCTTCTTTGATTTTGCTTTGTCCTTCCTTTCATTGGTGCTTTTTCTACCCTTTGTGGTTTTCCTTCTGCCCCCTTTGTTGGGTTGAGATTTTGCCCTCTGGTATGATCCGTCAGATCTGGAGATGTTCCTCTTCTTAGATGCAAAGGAGGCTAGATCTGTTTCTGGCTTGTCTTCTCTTCCTCTCTCCCTTCTTCTACCTCTATGTTTCATCCTGCAGATCTTGATGAATTGGAGATGTGGCCATCGTGCTTGGACTCGGCGTGAAGATCTTGAAGACTGAAGGTCACCCTCTCTGTTCTGACACCATCCGCCCTTTCGTTCGTTAGTTCATCTCGTTGGTGTCCGACGATGGAGAGCTGTCGGAGTTAGGACCGGTGAAGTGTCGGTAGAGACGTCAATGCTTCTACCGCCTCCGACCAGGTTGGTGGACGCCAGGCTTTCCTCCTCGTTGCATGTTTGTTCTTTGACTCCGGCCTGTTTGTGGATGGAGGCTTTGTTGCCACCAGCGGCGGTGAGGAGCTAGAGGGGCATTCAATCGACAGCTAGGGTTAGGAGCTGGGTTTGGGTCGAGCCTGTGGCTGGGCCCTATTGGGTTTCCATGTTGTTGTTTGGGCTTAGCGATTTGGGCTTGGCTTCTTTCTATGGGTTGTCTTTTATTTGTACTGTGACTTTTTCCATTGGGCTTGTCCCATTTGCATACTTAATGAATCCACTTTCAAAAAAAAAAATAATACATAAAGTCAAATAAAAAATCCTCTCAAATCAAAATTTCCATCCTTCTCCAAAATTTCCACTTCGTTTGTTGGAACAACTTTTCTAATGTTAAAATAGACGTTCATTTTTAAACTTGAACAAGGCAGAAATTCAATTGATATTTTTTCTTAAATTAATTCTCTATACTAAATTATGAAACCAACATACAAATATATAGAAAAATCTCAAAATTGACCGCCACCCTTTACCAATCCTAAGCAGCTAAAAACTCTATTACTAGCTACTTCCATTATTCTAAATGTACTAAACCCAAAAGCCTAAATCCCCCTCCCATAAAATATCACAAAATCCCCTTAACTGCCGAAGAATAAGAATAATAATAATAATAATAATAATAATAATAATAAACAAATAGAAAATACCCTAATTCTCTCACGGCAAAATCACTCTCCATAACCATCTAATATAATAATAACAACAACAATTATAATAATTAATCATTCGTCGTCATCATTCTCATCTATCTTCACCTTCCCCAAATCCCTCAAACTCTCTTTCTGCATCGGCTTCCCCAACAACAACCATTATCGCGCTTTTCTTCACTTGATAGAGCGACAACAGAGAAAAGCAGGGAGACGAGGAGTCGAGACCGAAGATCCGTGAAAATGAGTCCACTGCGAAACTGATGCCTGTCTTCTCTCGTTCTTCTGATGCCACCACTTCTCTCAACAGATGAAGAGGATTATATGCCGGCGGTTTTATTGAAACTAACCGGTTGGAAGCGAAATACCGGTTGCACAGTCAATACCGGCCGGCACGTGAAAAGCCCCTGAACTCAGACACCGTTCTGGATCAGACGCGGTATCCGGCTTTTCCGGTCCTACCGTCCGGTACGACACGGTTTGGGAATCCATGCATTATAGGCTACGAAAGTAGCCCTCTTGGCCCAAACAAAAGAGGGTTGACTTACCTTCTCTCTCAAATCGGGGTTTGGACGGCTTAATCACAATTAACCAAGATGTCTAATTGGAGTTTAGAGATTTGTCTTACATTAACCTAGTTAGGAGGCATGGAATTTCGAGTGCCGATCAATGTAAGTTCTGATCCGCTGCCAGAGGACGCAGAGGAATCAAATCCTCTTCTCTGAAA